TCCTATGTGGACTCCAATCTATCCTTGAGACTACCCCACTCGCCCCTGTGGACTTCTCAATTTAGGCCCTTCATTAGCCTCTTGGTCACTTCATTTTGATTTGTAGGAGAGTGGCGTTGGATCGCCTTCAAAGGTGCTATAAACTTATGCATACAATGATGGTCATCAATGCGGATCTTTAATTTTCTCAGTGCCAAAACCAATGGTCTGTCTTTCCTATGTCCGGTAACAATCGCACACATCCCTTCCTCCACTTTCCGACTGTACGACCAGCTTGTTGTATAGTACAGAAGGGAGGGTTGGAGACTCATCGCTTTTCTACAGAAGAGTTGCTGGAAGAGTCATAATGTTAAGAGGGAGGAAGGTAATAGGAAATGGGAGGCACCGCGCTCACAAATGTTTGCTTCAGAGGCCGAGGATTCGAGTAATGCAAAAGAATGCGGAGTGGGTGCCTGCATGCCGCTGTGAGCTCTATCGCAAGTGCCGAAGGGGCAGTAGAGGGACCATCATCCCGCCTTGCCCTGCCAGACCTTTTAATTTGGAATGCTATGCTAAACTAGGCTTTTTGATCCTCTCACGTTGTCGGAAGATGAACTCTCGTAGGTCACGATTTTCAGCCTTGCCGGCGGCTTTCCAAGTCCCAAATCAGTCGGGTCAATGGCTTTTGCAGCGTTGCGAACGGAACCTGTTTCACCGGATCTTGTCGATATTCACAGTACAATTTATGCACCGATCAAAGCAAATTGAGGCTCTATCGAGAAGGTCTAATAGCGGTTTAGCCTCAAAGCCTCTTAATTGACAAGTTCCACTTGTCAACCCTTAATGGCCAACAAGCAGGCCAATGCATTTGTGGCCACTGGTTTTCCTTAAGATGTCCGTTTGACCCGTCCTCTTCGAGTGGCGATCCAAGACACGTCTTGCAGCGTCTGGAGACAGCCGAGAAGTAGCGGAGTCATCGAAAGTGGAGACGACAACACAATCGGCAGTCTATCAAAATTGGTCGCCTTGGGGTTGCCAAAGTTTGGGAAGTTTGACTTTTGCTTTGGCAACATCACATGCTGTCAGTGGCGGCGTGGGCTTCGTATGCAGAAGTCAGGATAAGTGTTGCGCTATTTGTGAGAATTTTGTTGCACCGATAAGTTATAAGAAACTAGACAGTCAAGTTATTTCGGCCGTTGGTACCATTTGAGACACGATCAGTGACGCAGGTTCCTGTCTAGCACGGTGCTGGCAATTCATCTGCGTGTGTAACATTATATTTTTCCGCCTGCCGTCCTCTACATTCTGGGATATTCGGTGGGGACGGAGGACCCTGGCATCCAAACAACAGTTCTCATCCTATCAACAGAGAACTCCAGCAAACATCCACCCTCTTACTTTCTCTCGTTCAACAGTCTTGACACAACTTATGCTCCATACGACACCGGGTTTGATCCCACTTCAACTTTTAATGCCGCAATCAGCAAAAATGCACGACGTGAATCCAATTATTGACAATGGCAACGAGTTCATGTACTTTAACTGACAAGTGCACTCTAATTGATGTGTGACACTCAAATGTACCGAGTCATTGATTTAGCTTCGACTCTGGCCTGGATGGTGACAGCTGCAATCGTCTGTCCCTTTTTTGTCCTTTCGTAACTCGTGCCCCTGCAATTTTATCTTCGAGGTCAAGTGATCCGTGCTGCCACATCTCCACTGTTTCATTGAACGTGGTTGTCAGAACAAATTTGGTATTGGGCAGGAAAAATTAACGTTTAGATGATCAAGCCCTTGATATATGCCTCATTTTGCCACTACAGTAAATGCCTAGACTGACAGTGAATGGCACATAAACAGTGGACACATCAATTGAGTGTATTTACTCGGAGGAAAGTGAAGACATGAGTGAGTGTGTGTTCGACACATCATCCATGGATGATCGCCGACATGTACACCTGCGGCCCTCTACTGATTATTAACCAGTAGCATGCCAATGGTCATTAATAAAATTTAACCCAGCTCTTTTTCGTTGAGTACTTTTCAGTACCGCCGCATAATTTGCAATCATATGAACAGTTTTTATTTTCGATTGCTACCAAAAACCACCACCAGCTGTCCCCGATCAAAACAAACCCAAACTGCACATAGAGAGGCGTGTAAGTTAAATAATTAAGTTTTAGTATGGCCTAAGGGAATGAGGAGGCATGAAGGAGCTAATTCCCTTCCAAATGAAGGTCGGAAGGTGGGCAAAGCAAACGCATTAAATTAAACCTTACTGCTAGCTGACACTTAACACCTGCCACAGCCTATTCAGTTTTGATTGAGCCCCTCCTTTGAATGGATTAAACTACTTGAGTCCAAACATCCCCAAATTGCTGTTCCCCCTCTTCACTGGCTTCAAATGATCCCTAAGCCATATACAACTCGGTGGAGAAGGCTTGAGCAGCCTCAGTTCGCTATGACTGGACTCCGACGTCCACGCAGGAGGCTATTGATTGACGTCAAGGTCACGTTTGAGCACGCGACATGCACACATGAAGCCAGTGGCTGAGTGGGTGTGTTTTTTAGACTAAATCGTCAAGTATATTTTATTCGTCTTTACTTCTATGCAAGTGAAGGGGGTTGTGCGTCAACCAATCAAAAGCCCTGCTCGCTACAGCACACACACCCACACACTGAGAGAGAGAGAGAGAGAGATTGCACAAATCACAATTTCCGCTGGCATATGTTTATATCAGTGGAACCACCGTGAGTTCTATACCTTTCCCTCTTTTGTCACCTGCTTTTGTGTGATTTTAACTTCACCTATGTCAGCATACCAAGTTTTTTAATGAGGGCGCTGACGTTAAATAAGTAGCATTTGAGGTAATAGTCTGAGGCTGTCAGTAATTAAATTATGTCATAGAAGAAGGCACGCCTATTCCAAGTTGTATGTTTTCTTCTTCTGCTTCCCGTTTGCTTTTTGCCACTCCATGTAACTGGTATTGAGGCTGCTGTGAGCTTAGGGATGCTGGTCTGGTGGCCTGTTGGAAGCGTCGAAAGCCATCAACACCGCCTCAACCGCTGATGCCTCATTCACAGAGATCCAATTATGCAAACTGCGTAATTGGGAGAGTAAAATGTGTGGGAATTTAACTTTTTTCGCCTCTCGCCCTAGCAATAATTGTTGCGAAGGTAATCATAAAACTGGTGAATTTGCTTAACCCGGTGCAATAAAGGAATCACCACAACTTCATCGCGCGATTGGAGCAATAGAGCCTCCTTTATACGTACCTTCTTGTAAAGGAAAAGGAAGATGTGAAGCGCAGCTATGGATGCCATGCACCCTTACTCCGCTATGACACCTTTGTCAGCTCACTGCGGGGTTTGGAAGAACGATAGGCCGGGAGCGATCTGATTTGCACTGATTTGCACGTTGACACCTTAGCCTGAGTCAGGAAGGATTAATTGGCTCCATTCCCTCAAGATGTACTGTTACAAAATGAGCACATAAAATGGCGAGTGGAGATTTCTTTATGCTCTATTTCGTTTGAAAGGTCCAACACGCCTATTGTAGCAGGTGGACAGGATCAGTAGCTTGAGGTTAATCACTTTCAGGAGAGCTTAGCATATTAGTATATAAAAATCTTCTTTACCTTAGCGAATGGCACAAAAAAGAACCCTCAAGGAACCCACTGAGGATCTTTCAAAGGTTCCACGATTGGAAGCTTCCAATATGGACTACCTCCTACCCGTTGAGTTTGTTAGAAACGGCACTTCTCCTTGCATCACCCAAATCGCTGCTGCATTGTTTAGCCTCGGGGAGAGAAAGGCAAGACCATGTTTTATGTATCTCTGGTTCCTCCTTACAATAAGTCTAAACCAATGAAAGACAATCAAAGGGTTTGCAAATCACTCAAGGTATTTTTGAGGAGGCAAATAAAGACAAACGACATACAGCTCACATTTTTGAAGGTCAAAGGCAGACATGTTGGCTCCTCTACTTTCCGCTTTAGGCTCATTAAATTGCTTATTTACCAGATCAGGAGTTTATCTCTTTAAGACAATCATGTCAGGATTGTTTCATGGGAAGTTTAAAGCAACAGTTTTAATCCTTCATCCTTTCACTACGCATTTCCTCCTCATTTTTTAAAACAATATCGGGCCGCAAGCAAGGCATTTTCTGCGCCAGCTCGTAGTCGCCTGTGATTATGGTGTACAAAAACCGAATCTTCAATGTTATGTTATTTTTCTTCTTTTTGACGTACCATGAATTCACCTTCCAACTCAAACAGAGTACGCGCCACGCGCCGCCTCCACCAACTCAATGCCATCCCTAACTTATCTAAGTATTTTCCGAACAATAGCTTCAGTTTTTATGACTTAATTCCATGGTTAATTTCCGCATTCAGTTGTTAGGATCATCAAAACGTCAAATTGGTGGTCATCTAATCACCCATCTTAGCAGTTTAATCACTTCGTCTTCGCTGTCAGCTGTTTTTCAATCCGATGTGCACTTCTGGGAGCGATTGTTTTGACTTGAGAGACATTACCCCTTTAAATACCCACAGGGACACTAAACATTTGACAAAACAATCCGCTTGGATGACATGGCCAAGGATTTTTGGCAGGCACCTTTGTTTCGATCACTTTGAAGCTGTGCGATTCACTTCTGATTGGTTAAAAGACAGCCAATCACGCCCAGGCCAATGGGAGTCAGCTACTGGTTCTTTTCGAAGCCTCTAAGCCTGGAAGACTTAAGAGACGCTAAGTCGTGCTACCAAGATGGTGTCGCAATTGGCCTGTCTTGATCGACTTACCCTCCTCTACTGAATTCAGTCATCCTCTAGTGATGATAGGATGAATGCAAACATCGCCATTAAATCGGGTTAAGCAGAGACTTCAAAGCTGTCTTGCTTTCACACTTGGCTGTCGAGCCTTCCATTCTCCAGTCTACACTTCTGCAACTCACTGGGGCAAAAGTTGCTCGGCTGTGACGTCTTAAATGTGGCAAACAATTATCAACAAAATCCATATTGACTTCGGATTAGTGCTTTGCAGCCGGATTGCCACTTAGAACGCGTTAAAGCGCGAAGTATTTTGAATGAAGAAAAAGTACCCGGTGGTGAGATTAAACTGCTGGAGGAAGGCTAAAAGCATGTAAAAAGTTACAACGACTACATCTACACGCACAAGTCTCTATCATCATATGTAACCTTACTAATTCTTTTGGAAAAAAGTAAGATTTGGGGTCGTTTCCACTTGCTTCTTACTGGATAAAATTGCTCTCCCTTCTGATAAATGCAGACATTCGTACATGAAGCTTCTATATATTCTCCTGCTCCGCCTGCCATGTTTGCATAGCCTGGAGGCCAGGAGGCTGCCTTACATACAGGATTAATGAGCCACATCGTCGTTTGAAGATCGTGGACTTTAACATCACACTACTCAGATGTAAAGTAGGGGTGATGGTAGAGAGGCGAAAGGTCATTTTTGTGCTACTTCGCCGTGCAGAGTTTACTGATGAAGTACCGGGGTCAAAAGCTCAATGGTCAACGAAAATGAGGAAGCGAAGGATGAAGACAATGCCCTCGCATAGCAGACAGACGCATCGCCTGTTAATCACAACTTCCAATTGTGACACAAAAAAGATTTTGACTCGATATTGTGTCAGACTTGTTGCTAAGCCTCTCACTGAGGTTCAAATATTCATCCTCAAGCGAGGTGAGGTTATCCATCTTAAGTGAGATGTCAAATCTTTGGATTTTTTTCAGGCACAAAAGATCCGCTAAATGTCTACATCTGTCTGTATTTTGTGATGCCTTTAAATTGCCCATGAATCAGCCAATGGGAGATGAGCGTTCAACACCCCGACGACCAATCAAAAGCCAGCTGCAGAAATTGCTTCCTAATTTATATACTCATCTTTTTGGAATTTCAGTGTCTCTTTCAAAGCCTCCTTGTCATTGGGGAACCAAAATCTCAACAGCTGAGTGGGACCTACTCCATTGCATCAAACTTTGGAGAGGCCCTCACTATGGTAAGAGAATTATTCATGCGTGTTTATCATCTACTTGTTAAGTTGACACGGTCTATAGAGTGTCATTGCTCACTTTCTGTTGTGACCATGGTAACTAAAGGCCACAAAGCCCTCCGAAATGGGCTTCATCATGAGATGATTCATTTTAATGTGGAAAAGTCCATTACTGCTCAACCGTTTTGGTGGAGATACCTCGAAATTGGCGATTTTTCAAAAAGCAGTGGTAAAAACGCCCTATTCAATAATGCTGCCTACATAGGAGTTACCAAAGCAACAAACGCAATAGCAACGGTGGAACTGATGTGCGACATCATTCAAAAGCATATGATGGAAGGTAGGGCCAAGTTTAAATGTCTCTTACTATATCTTCATGTTAAAATTTTCTGAGTTACCTTTTTTTGTCTGCAGGATGTCCTCTCGGGATGCCAAGATCAATTTATTCCTCCTATTCACACGCAAATATGTGAGCAACACTGGGAAATACTTGCATATAGGCTGTCAAAATATAACACCTCTCTTTTTGGTAGTACGGAGGGCACAAGACTGGCAACGGGTACTGTGGTGGAGATCCATCAGATACCCTGGACAGCTACCCCCTTCTCTATTGCGGTTTTTTTTCGCGGGCTCAATATTCGACCCGGTGGAATTGCTGTCAAGATTGCCGATGGTCGTCGTAGCAATACTGTCTACGTGGCGTTTGAAAGTGAGCTTGACGCCCAACTAGCCTGTGACAGGAATACACCAGAAGACTACGAGGTGTTAGCCAGTCTCGAGAACTCACCAGGCACTCAGAGCACTCGGTCACCCAATATGCAGATTGCTATGGCCTCGGAAGTACTCTTTCTTCAGTATGCTATTTGTAAGGAACATGCTACTTATTTTTACAAGTAGATGCCGCTTCTGATTAATTTGAAAATATTGGCCAATGATTAGATGAGAATCATTTTAGGTCGAATTCCTGAGGTGGCACAATTTCTTCAACAATTGACAGACGAGCGCCAAATTGTTGTCCGTATTCGTGGATTACCGTATACCACGAAGAAGGCGGATATTGTGAGTCCAAAACGAGTAGAACATATTATTAGCAGTCGAATGGGTCATTAAGAAGAACGCAATCCTTACATAAGACTTATTTTCGTAATTTGCATGAGATAAGAACCAACTTTTTGGTGGGCATTGGGCTTTAAACGTACCTGTGGTAACGTAAAGTCTAAATTGTATCTCTATGGTTTAGAGTTCCAGGTAAGTTGTGATTTACATTGCTGTGGTGCGACTGTGGTGCTGGTGTTGGAGGTGATAGTTTCGCGGCAGAAGTGCTTCTCGTGGTGGTGTTTCAAATAGCGACAAAGTTATGGTGAACTCCGCTTAAAGACTTCGCTAATTCGCTCTGCGCATACAGCAGTGGACCACCAATGGTGGAATAAAAGCCCCTCTACTTATTAATGTCACCAAGATTTTAATTGCTCAACTTTATCAACATGAATTTAAGTAACGTCAAACAAGTTGTGTGAGTGAAAAAAAAAAGATTTTAAGCTGATGAAATACTATTTTTAAGTGCCAACTTATTGACATCTTATGGGTGAGCTTACTCTAACTCTGAAGTTGCATAAAGCACGAATATCCTACTCTCAAGTAACAAGTTTTCTTCCACGGTCTTAATCTGATCGTGCCACTCTTGCATAACCAAGTAGTCGAAGTAATCTCTGTAAAATCGAACTTACATTGCAAGCTCATTAATGGCTTGTACCTCCTTAATCTCGTAACTGCAATTTCCGTTTTACAAATCATCGAGTTGTTTGCCAATAATGTTACAATTTTGCAAAAAATTTAACGTATCATCTATTCACAGTTTATTATGAATATTATCTATCGGCATTTTTATCTACCCTCTACTCTCAATTCAAGTATGAACTTCAGTGTAGTTTAGACTTCATAATGCTTGAGCTAAAATATGTTTTTATGATCATGCTTTAAAAATGGTGAAATTTAGCATTTGCCAATCGACTGTTTCGATAACATTATTCTACCTTTCTCATTGGTTCGCATCACCTGACCAGTGAAATACCGAGCATGCTCAAAATCTTGACTTTGATTGGATGGCAGAGGCATGAATGCTTTTGCGCCTTTATTTTAGATGAAATTTTTCAAGGAGGTTGATGCGGAAATTCTCAATGGTGAGAACGGAATCTTCTTTGCAACTTACGCCGATTGTCGACCAACCGGAGATGCCTTTGTCCTCTTCGTGGACAACGCAGATGCTGATCGAGCGTTGACGCGCCATCGAAACTACCTTGGTCAGCGTTATGTGGAATTGTTCAAAGCCTCACCTTCAGAGGCTGTTCAGGTACATCTTTAGAAATGGGATTTGCATTCAGTTGGATCTTAACTTAATATAACATAGCACTCGATGAGAGGTCACAATATAAGACGACTTTTCCCTTAAGTCTGCACATTTCCTTTATAGTCAAGTTTGACTTCAGTTCATGATCAGTTCAGATCATGTTTCTTTTCAAATTTTACTTTAAGGTGTGTCAAAATGCCCAGCAGAGTGGCACCTCCAGCACCAATAAGACTTTGAGTTTTGGTAGCAAACTTGTAAAGCCGACGGTATCGACAGTGACAATTAAGAAAACTGGCCCCTCCCTTTCCTTACCCACTGTCTGCCCTCCCACCTTTCCTCCTCTTTCTGCTTCCATCCAAGCTCCCAATCTGTCAGCGACTCTGGCATTTCCAGAGGTCCCTTCCACTATCCTCAATCCCCTTCTCTTTCCATCTTCATTCATCCCAGTTCCGCTGGCAACAGCCCTTCCGATGGCAACGGAGTTTATTGATCCAACAGATCCAAAATGTCCCCTGCCGAAACCTCTACCTCCAGGTGGGGCCAGATTCGTCATTCAAATCATGGATCTACCATCAACCCTCAGTCGACAGGAGATGCGACTGTTTTTAGGATTGGAAGTCTACGCCAAGGTCTTTAGAATGTGCAAGATTGTAAGTTACGGTGGTGTTAGCAGCCCAATTTGTGAAAGATTTTGAGTAGTCGTGATTGTAAACCTAATGAATAACCAAACGGTTAAGAATGGGCTAATGGATTTGTGGGTGTAGTGATGCCTCCTAGGTGCATGGTTTTATTAAAAGGAAAAATTATGCCTGGATCGTAAGACAAATGAACTGGGAGACATGGGCATGGGAACTGAAGGAGCCGTAGCCAAATCTTCAGGCAGGTGTCGAAAGCGTTACCGATTAACAGGCAAACTGCCTCATCAACATCTAGACTACCTGCCTGACGGAGGGATCATGGCTCCTTCTCATGGCCGACTTGGCGGATACACTTTGGGCGATAGAAGAGCTGCTTCAAAGGTCCCCCCTACACCCGCGATTCCTTCTGTTTGAGGTGGACAGTCGAGACTTTCAACTGAATGTGATACCATCTAGTCGACTACCTGCGCATCTACCCCCTATGCGGGTGCTAAATCTTCAGATGGCAGTGGATTCACCAGCATGGAGTGCTGGTAGGTCTGTCACCTAGTCAGAAGTCGATTCTGATTGACGCCTTTTGACTGCACTACGTAAAGCTCTGTGAGATGCGAAAACTTAATTTTACGACCCTTGATTTCGAGGTGTCAAAGACATTACTGTAAATGAAATTTGACAGTCCTCCACCTCCACATTCGCCTAGCGTATGCTTTAGGTCGAATTATGCTAAAGCGTGAAGTAAAATGTGGGGTCCTGCATCTGACTCAGAGCTTCGACTAATGAAGTTCGTGTAAAGCGAGCTAAGTTTTAGCACTTCAAAAGATGATACTACTGTTAGAAACAAGAGCTTCTTGAGCTGTCGAGGGAAATCTATGTGGTGGTTAGTTTGCTTTCTCTTATACAAATGCTAAATAGTTAAACCTGCTTAAGAGTGCTGGGAAAATGCACAACAACCTTAGTTCCATGTAACAGGAAAAGTAAATGAGATATAGAGATGGTGCCATTCAATTCGGCATTTATGAGCCGAGTAATTTCTCCTATCCTTGAATAGCTCCAAATTTTCCTTCTATTAGGTCATTAATTGGCGCTTATAACAAATTTTGTTGTTGCCAAAAAGGATCCAGTACACTTGTTATTATTGTAGGTGTTTATTTTTGTTCGAATAGATGAGTGCCTCAAATTAGAAAACCAAGCGTCACGTTGCTAATAGCAAATTTGCCAATTCGAGATGCTTGTCTGGGGGGGGGGGGTTATTCGTGGCATCATCAAGAGCAAGTTGCTGACATTTTTGTTTTAAAGCCTGGGTGTAGTTAATGCTTTTACCGCTCCGTGTTTTAAGTTATTTGGCATTTTTCAACATAAGCAAGCAGTCACGCTTCTGTGGAAGTTTGGGTTGAAGTGGTGGGCTCTCTTCATGAAGTACTTGAGGTGAGACTAGAGTATTTAACTGCCAAATGCCGAGGTTGTTGGCTAAATGCTGCTCGTGAGATAAAAAGAGGAGCACTCTGTGGTCTCACTAAAAAAAACAGGTTAATGGTAGATTCCCTTTTGTTGATACAATAAGATATTGAAATAAACCACTTTGGATTTTTACCGCCAGTGAAAAGTACGGTGCATTTATTTGTAGGTCTTGGGGTTGCTGGGTTCGTAGGCACTATAGAGCCACAGTTAGGGCTTTCGACCATTTCATCACAACATCCCATCAGACAATTCTCGATGGGTCTTCCCTTGGATGGTACTTCCGCATTCGCTGATTTGGTCAACCCCTGTGTTTTGCGGATCACAGGCCTGCCAAGAAACGTCACCCAACAGGAGCTTGCTTTGCTCTACGCCCCTGTCATTCACCTTCTCTCAGTAAGTTGGCTGAGTACTTAAAGCTTTACGACTTGTTCCCCCATAGGTGCAGGGGTAGTGTAGTAGGTGCTAAGATAAAGTAGTGCTCATTTTGTTCTCCGAATTCAAGACTGACTTCTTAAATCGAGGGTCTAAACTTAGTACCAGCATTCGTTGGCACCTGACCTGTGGCCAAGAGGAAACCGCTAGAGAAAGGTCGATGGATAACTGAAAGAACACGGGACCATTTATCTGCTGCATAATACTTGGCAAATGCAGCCTTTCTAGCGACTAGAAAATATCTTGCTAAGCTGTAGTCATAGGTTTTTTGAAAGCATTGAATATTCTCATTTAAATCTGCAGGGTGCGTGTGAGTAATGCCTTTTTTTTCTGATTTAAAGAGTCCACCACACTTCCTACCCCTTACAACCACTAGCCAAGAAGCGACCGCCACTTACATAGCCGTCTTCGCAACTCACAGTGACGCTGCGCTTATGCTGACGCATTGCCGTCTCTGCAGTCTGCGGGATAACGCGTTCATCGCCATGAGTGCTCCTGTCGGGCAGCCCCTCTAACTTCGCAAAACTACCATTATAAAGCCTGAACCCATTTTCGCGAGCAATCTTCTCATTTTTTTGAATTTTGCACAACTATGTTTAATTTTTAAGAACAATTTTTTTAATTTTTTTTAAAAATCAGCTTTCATTCGAATTTAAATGGGATGATTATTCCTGGAAAGGGCGTGGATGTAGGGCTACCCTATGTCCAAATAAGTGGCTAACGAATTGGTCACGAGAAAGTGCTAAAATAGTTAATTGATTCTTAAAGGAAAATGGAATTGTGCCATTGACTTCTTTTCTGAGTTATTGTTACTGGTGAACCTCGACACGGCGTTTTCTTGTCAGGGTTACACTCTGTTGTCCCGAGGGTACTTCCTAAAAAGAAAGATTGGGAGTTAGTGGAGAGATCGTCGATCTTTAGCTAACCTTGGGTGCAGGCTCTGACCATGAGGCCATGGTCGTGACCGAGGCGCGTCGGCACCATTTAGGCAAAAACGTCTCCGAGCCAGGTCGCCAATAGCTGGCAAACTTGGGGTGCCAGCAGGTTGCATATTACCGACATAGGTTTTCCACCCTTATAAATTTTCAGCTTTGATCAGGCCTCACTGGCGTACTCCACTCTGGGTAACGTTATGGTGGTAAAACAGCAGTAATGAATGTAGTAATTTCTCTATGTAGCCGCCTGGTGGCTGGCGTTTAATCTGCTATTTTTCTTACTCATGGACTCACCTTTGAACCAAGCCAAGCCTCAATCCCTTCTTGTCTGTCTAGAGTACATGCAATCAGTCTTATGTAATGTGTTCTTGCATCTAGTGGAGCGTCTTTGGGCGTTAAGTAAGACCGTCCCTTGGACTGCATGCATGGTTGAGAGCCTTCCTGTCTTCATTCTTGGACTAGTCTTTGGGCCATGAACTTACATCTAACAGTTTTACCAGAATGCGAGTATTCAGCTGAGTACTATGCTTTCCCTTACCAAATAGGAAGCAACAGGATGCTATGTAAGCATCATAATTTCTTAAACCACGCATTAATGCGAGCTTTATTTCTCGGAATTAGGGTCTTTTGTGTGAGAAGAAGACATTACAACAAAGCGATGATGACAATTATTATATCGGCTACGTGCACGATATCTGCGGTTGATAAACACAAATGCCTGCCAAGGGCTCACAGTTTTCATTGACTACTATACCTTCGCCCATGTGGACACTATTTGTTCTCATCAAAATTAAACTATAAAGCGAATTTACATTTAAGACAACTGAGGCAATGCATCTCAGCAAGCTCAGTTCCAAATTCATAATTAGCCAAATACCTGTAAGACATTAATATACATTTGCATGTGCGATATTTAAGGTGCTCATTTCAAATACTCGAAGTGGAGCTCTAGACATTCTATGGCTCTATTCGATGACAGAGATTAAAAATCTGTATTTGCATAGCATCTCTTTATGCATTAGTCAGTTAAAAGATGATCAACAGATGCTAATTATTGACATATGTTGTTCAAAACAAAAAACCATTATAAATGGCCCAAATTTTTATAGTTCTCCAAATTTGTTCCGATAGCCTTTAAAACATCTGCGAATGGTTTGATTTAATTTGAGCGCTTGCGATTTTGCGTAAGGCTGTCACAAAGCGCGCAGTTCGGGACGGCCATTGTTCTGAGGGGATGGATCCTGTAAATTGTAAGATTTTGCTACTTTCTCCCATTTGTGATTCATAATTCTACCATGACTTCTGCTTATTCTGTCTGGTTGTATAGGTGCGTGCCATCTTTTTCCCTCCAGTACTGTGAGCACATTTGTCTATTGATTTTGCTTGACCATGGTCTTGCGGCCCCTAAAGGTGTTAATCCTTTCATGATATTCAAATGTTGTTTTTGTTATCTTGGTGGTAATGTCTCATTTGCACGCGTCCTGCCTTTTGGCACTCATTTCTGCCTTCTACTTCTTGTCAATTACGCTACTTTTGCTTGCGTTTCTCACTATCAGTTGTTAATGTTCAGTATATCTCAGTAAAGCGTGAAGGCTATTGTTATTATATATAGATGGCGAGTACCTTGCAGAAATCTTCAATGTTTGGGCGTAATTACTTTGTGGTGTCCGGCTCCGTTCATGACATCCGGTTTATTCGTTTCTGGAATCAGTTTAACCTCCTATAAATGTGGTGTTGTTTGTATTGAAGCAATATTCAGTTGTTGGAAAACTTGCCTATAGTTGTATATGTATGCAAATAGCTTGCCTCAGGTGCTATCATCTTAGAGGAGGAAATCGGGCTTGAACCATGGAAGCCAAGTGGAAAATCGCAGGTTTGATAAAGTTAATTTTAGGGGTTGATACTTTTTCGTACAGTGAATAACATAGGGTTTTATATCTTGTCCATCCTTCGGTAACTTCAGTTAATTTTTATAGCATGCGTGAAAGTTCTAAATGTTCTCCTTACCCTGTTAGAGCATTCACCTCTCGTTTACTGGGTTACCGAAGCCAGCCTTCTCGTATTGTTCAAGGGCGTCTTGGTCTATGGCTTTATTCTCTACTTTGAAGTAGATCCTCTTAGTTCTTGCTCTCTATCCCACCAGCCTAGCCGACTTATGGTGCCAAGCGGGCACTACATTACGCTAACTGCTAGTTATTTTAACATTTCCCATGCCACTTGGCTGGGTACTCGAGGCACTCCCATCTAATGTGGTGTTGAGAGATGCTATTGCCTCACCTTGCCGCTTCGTGTCTTCTGTTCTCTAAGTGCTTTTTTGGTTGCGAGCAGAAATGGCTTAAACGATCCTCATTTCGCTTGGTTTTAAGGGACTAAGAACTCAAAATATTTAACCCTCGAAAATCGTGTGGTCATTTAGATGCAGATACCTGGCTCTTGCTTGAGATTAATATTTCTTGGATTCCGTCTTCCAACGATTGGCAATCCTCATTCAAGCAATTCTTTATTTATGACTTGATTTTGTCATGGGTTATTAGTGTCTTAAACCTGTGCTATTCTTGAACGGCAAGGTGAACGTTTTTTACCTTTTTGAACGAAATCCGTTAAGTGGTGTTCAAGAAATCTGACCATTTTAAAATAAGGTGAAGAAGTGCTTACAATTGATGTGGACTTTGTCTCTTAGTTAGCTATCCATTCACTTTTTTGGGGCATAATGGTAACATTTCGCCTCTCAACCACTAGTTTCATAAAATCTGATTCCTGATGTCGGCCACCTCCTCTGGGGGCATTATTAACGCATGCACTTTGAAAGTTTTTTTAAGAACTGAAAAGGCAAGGTGGCTAATTAGCCCCGGCTGAGCTCCACATCTCCGTTACTAGAGGCCACCATACGACTAGGGCACCACATCCTACCGCCTTGCTTTTTCTCAGAGAGGTCGAGGCTCTCACTTGCATCTGGGAGTTTTATGGATCTTTGATCTTAGTTAGATGTCCCGACTGTAGCATAAAAGGGCTCATTTTATCCGGCAATCTTTGCTTGAAATTAATGGATGCCTTTATCTTGCATACGTGTCTCTGGTCTTGAAAACCTTGAGTCTGCATGTTAGTCTAATTTGTTTCTTATACCCTCTATTTAAAGGGAGGGATGTAAGGGGATTTTATTTTCTGAAAAGAAAAAAGGGATATCAGAAGAGTATCACGAAATATGATTGTGCTGAAGGAAGTTATTCAACCAAATAGGTGATTCCCTTTTCTGCTTTTTCCAACAGCAGTACTGAGTGCCGTCCGCTCCTTTTTGGCTGAGGATCTCTCCTGCCACTTTCTGCCTCCCCAGGTGGAGGAGAGGCGCCAGGTCTTACTGGAAAATTTGGATTTGCTCACCTTTGGTCCCTGTCCATCACCACCACCTCCTCCTCCTTTCGGGATTTCTCCACTGTCGGCTTCGGTGTCACCGCAGATCATGCAACCCTCTCACCATCGCCGATTGAAAAGACATTCGATGCCTCCAGCGGTTACACTTTCACATTCTCTGTGAGTCTGCGACCTGACCTCATGCTTTGCAATGGCGTTTTTTCCAGACGGCCTAACCTAAGGAAATCATTTGATTCCTCTATCCTTTTTCTGAAAAGGAATTAAGGAAATACTGAAGTTCGTGAAACAATGGCTCACTTTTCTACTATGTTTGGTAGATTCTTACCAAGTTTGCTACCAGCGTTGCATTATGTGACGCCCTCATTTTCCCTGACCTGAGTCAAGCACTATTCATTGCCGTTGCTACGGTTTCGCGAAGGAACGGGAATGCATCAAGAGGTGATTTTTACGCTGGTGCTGATGCGTTAACTCTATGGCTATCAAGCTTTTTAGATTCATTCGTCGCCCATATCCCTTACCAGCGCTTCTTCTTGATCCTCTTAATTGCAAGTCACTAGCCATTCTCTCGACCATCTTTTTCGTGAAGTTGACTTTGCGTCCGTTTAGTTAGTCATCTCCGCGGCACGTCGACGACATTGTTTACTCCTCTACTTGACCCATGCTGGCCGGCTTGACCTCGATGGTGTCACGCCATACGATATTTAATTTTAATTTTGATGAGTCTGTGGCTGTTGCTATGGCTTTTGGAGGTTCTTATTCGCGTACACTTTTATTCGGAAGTCCAATCTTCGTCTGGAGTTTCTGATACAAGCAAGTAATGACGATTTTGCGCTGCCTAATGAGCGATAGGTTGCCGCTGATTAGCCTTTGAAGGGTGTTTCGGTGGCCTGGTGTTAGGTGATTGCCCTTTGTGGGGCCTCGGTTTCATTATTCCTCTTCAACGCAATGGCTTGATTGTAACGAAATATCGGGCTTGAGGCCACTGTGTTTCGAAATGAAGGTGGAGTAGCAAATTACGATTGTTTTGTTTCAACATTCGTGATAGGCTGTCCATCTGGTGCCTCTTCTGAGCTTCTACTTTGGGTCGTTGGTATTTGAACTCCTTCAAAATTTTGTCCGGTACACGGAATGACATTACAAGCGTATCTGTTTGCCTTTACTTCTAAAATCTGGGTAGTCTCGAAGTCTATTTTCGTGCTAACTTCGTATCA